GGATTCCTCAACAGCTCAATGTAACTATACACATGTCTTAATATTTGTTTGTGGATTCCTCGAATTGTTCTGGATTCCGCAAACACAGTTGCGGATTCCGCAAGTTTGTTTATTTTTGCAGCGATTTTGAGCGGTACATCGTTTTAATTATTTGTCTGTGGAATCCAAAACAGCCACGAAGATCAAAATAGCCACAAAACAGCCACGGGTTCCGCGGCAAATCTGATTTTGGCCTGTTGTGAAATCCGTTTACAATATACAGAATGCACAGTTTGGCCTCGTAATGATCGGAGCGACTCATGAAAAAATTTAGCGGGGCAACTTAAGGAATGACTCCAGCGGCGCGGTAGAAGAAAAAATTTAAGAGGGTTGACAAAGGAAAAGCTTAATTGGCGACACTTATGAAATGACTTTAGCGGCCGGACCTCAGAAAAAAAGTTTAGCGGCGCTACTTAATGAAAGATTCACCGTGCAATTTAAGAAAAGACTGACGGCTCGACTTAAGAACTGACTCATGTCAACTTGAGAAAAGACAAATGGCGCTACTTCAGAAAAAACAAACGACGAGACTTCACTCTGCAACGCCAAGACTACGCAATTTAGTCTATAAACCGAAAGTTGCGCAATTTACTAGATATTTAACTCGCCGACCTCGACACGTCTTAACTTTTTGCAAGAAAATTTTTAAATTTTGATTGATTAATCCATACAAACAGTTTAAGATAAAATCGAATCGATGCTTTTGTTTTCCTCGACTTAGGAGACTAAATTGGTGAGAAACCATTCGTACTGAACGTTTTACCGATGAAGCTAGGACAGGACTGTGTGATCAATTTTGCTCCTAGTAACAAGTCAATTATGGCAAATAAGCTTCCTTCAACCAATTTGTAACAATTTCTAACACGGATTAAATCTCCGCTTATGCGTTAATAGCGCGAAAAAGATCGCGCGTTAATTGTCCCAAATTGGCCCAAATGGCAATCTTTAAAACCCCATAACTTTACGAAAAATGATCACAGGTGAAATACCATTTCAAATTTCAGCTTAGAATAACAATACGTTTTGAATGATATAAAAGTTTCCGTCAAAACTGGCTAGTTAAAAAGTCGAAGTTTGTCTGAAGAAAAAACCCACCCCGAGCACAAATATTCCGTTACTTTCGTTACGAAAGTTGGAACAATAAGATACAAGACTGCTCGTATCAGGGCGAATCCCTGATTGTTCCGACTGCCTTTTAACGTTTATGGAGCAGAACTAACATAAACAACATAAAAAATTTAATGAATTAAATAAAATGAAACCTTTTTTTAATATTCAAATTTGTCTATAAAAATTATCCCCCCCACGCCATTTAAAAAAAAGTGATAGATTTTGCTCCTAGTAGCAAATAAGCTTCGTTCAACAAATTTGGAACGATTTCTAAGACGGAGTGAATCTCCGCTTACGCGTTAATAGCGCGAAACATATCGCGCGTTAATTGTCCCAAATTGGCCAAAATAGCAATCTTAAAACACCCATAACTTTACGAAAAATGATCACAGGTGAAATATCTTTTCAAATTTGAGCTTGGAATAACATTACGTTTTCAACGCTATAAAAAATTTCCGTCAAAAATGGCTAGTTAAAAGTCGAAATTTGTCTGAAATTTGTCTGAGCGCAAATATTCAGTTACTTTCGTATCGAAAGTCGGAACAAAAACGTTTGTAAATGTATATGTCTATAGATATTTATACTCTCATGAGTAGAAGACTTCTCATTCTAGAAAAGCGCCAGTTGTTTTAACCACTAATGTGAAACGTTAAAAATTAGTTATAGGTATAAAACAGTATAAAAACGCTTTCCTCCTAAGTCACTGATTTTGCAAGTAGCAGAAGAACTTTGCAAAATTTTCGATGACAACTGTTCGTAGCATCAGCAAGCTTTTAAATTAAGAAAGCGGAAAAAGACAATTGCATCCGCAACTTTTTTTGTAGTTTTGTAATTAGGAACAGGAATCAGGAATCACTAGGGGCTCAGCAACAGGAATCAGTAGGGGATTTTTTCAGTTTCTTTCCGATTTTAATTGGTTGTTAAGAAGATTAATTCTTTTGAAGGTTAGAAAATTTGATAACATCCCAAAGCATCACTATTGTTAAAATCAGAAAAAATAAACGGTGGTTTTTTATCAGAGGTAAATCAAAAACTAAAAATTGAACCTGATAAGGACTACAAAATTTACTCAAAAGCGGGTCTAATTTTTTATACTTTATAGTTTCATAGGGGGACCGACCGTTTAGCAGACAAATGTTTTAGCATAAAAAGAGAAAAATGAGTCTTTTAGCAGACAAACGTAATCAAGTGATGGATGATTGATTGACAGACTCAAAAAGACGCTCAGTCTGGGGCCAAGCTTCCCCAATTAAGTCGATTATCTCACGATTTGTAAACAAAACTATCAACTTCAAAAACACAACAATCTAAATTAGCGGCAAATCAAAGATTTACGCGCACAATAACACTCGTGTTGAATTGAAGCGCAGCGCAGCGAGCGGTCGCTAATCGCCAATGCTGCGTTTGAAAATGGCTATCACACTTTATAATCGCTCTGTGTCTGCTAAAAAACCTATCTGCTAAAAAACCTGTCATCGCAAAAATCCCTAGCACCGTTTCTTAGAGACCTCTTCTCATTAGCCGAAAAATTATCTCGATCGTGAATAAAATAATTGGAAAAAATAGTCATCAAACTACATGAACAAGCTCATATTTTTGTAGTAAAATATGCGTTTTGAACAAAATCTAATCAATGAAACAGAAAAAAATGCAGTTTCTGAATTAATCCGAGAACTGCTAGAATGATTTTTCAATTTTCACACATGTCAACAAGATAACAAGGTAAATTAAACTTAGACATTAATTATCATCAGTTAAAATGTTCTTAGCTGATTAAAGAGTTTTATGCAAAAGGATGATTCAAATCGATTATTATTTGATTTCTATAGATTTTATTTTCAATTATGAAATGATTGGTAATAAACTAATTCTATGTTCAAATAGCAAAAATTAAAATTGGATTCAAGTTTTTTGAATTGGTAGCGATTTTCCGTTCAAAAACTGTTAAGCTGAATGATTTTTTACTACGGATATAGTAGGGACTATATAGTACGGTGACTTTTTGTACTTTTTTGCAGAGTCTTATGACCGCTCTGGTTATTCTAGTTACCCGGTTTGACCTAGCCGTTCTATTAAAACTCATGAAAAATTGCTAGGTGCTAGTTATGCACTTTTAATCCAAAAACATTATCGAAGAAAAATCATGGAAAAATCTATGATTCATGTTTTTTTTTCTGATACGGAAATTTTATGAGTAGCATTTTTCAATATACCAAAGAATGTTTCTTTTTCTCAAAGTTAATGGTTGTGTTTACAATTGAATGCAAGTGAGAAACACCCTGGTAACTCGAAGCTTGAGTCAACAAAGTTTTAAGGATCCTTCATTTGAGACTACCGCAAAATAGATGTCTCAACAAACAAAAAAGTGCAAATTCCAAGCTTCAAACATTTGGCAAAGATGTTCAAAGATGCTAAGTTTTCGAATTTCAAAGTTCCAACTCAACATGCGTTGCCCAGGACATACAAAAAATATGCACTACCAAGGAAACAAAATGGTCGAAAAGGAGAAAGGGCCGCTCGTCCTCAGCTCAAGTTTCGACCTTGCTCGACACAAGTTTCAACTATGCTCGAGCTATGTTTCGACCGTGCTCGACACAAGTTTTGACTATGCTCGAGCTATGTTTCGACAGTGCTCGACACAAGTTTTGACTATGCTCGAGCTATGTTTCGACCGTGCTCAACACAAGTTTCGACTATGCTCGAGCTATGTTTCGACCGTGCTCGACATAAGTTTCGACTGTGCTCGACCTATGTTTTGACATCATTCTCGACCGAAATTGGGTACGTTTCGACTGTGCTCAGCTCAAGTTTCGACCTTGCTCGACACAAGTTACGACTATGCTCGAGCTATGTTTCGACCCTGCTCGACACAAGTTTCGACTATGCTCGAGCTATGTTTCGACCGTGCTCGACATAAGTTTCGACTGTGCTCGACCTATGTTTTGACATCATTCTCGACCGAAATTGGGTACGTTTCGACTGTGCTCAGCTCGAGCTTCGACCTTGCTCGACACAAGTTTCGACTATGCTCGAGCTATGTTTCGACCGTGCTCGACACAAGTTTCGACTATGCTCGAGCTATGTTTCGACCGTGCTCGACACAAGTTTTGACTATGCTCGAGCTATGTTTCGACCGTGCTCGACACAAGTTTTGACTATGCTCGAGCTATGTTTCGACCGTGCTCAACACAAGTTTCGACTATGCTCGAGCTATGTTTCGACCGTGCTCGACATAAGTTTCGACTGTGCTCGACCTATGTTTTGACATCATTCTCGACCGAAATTGGCTATGTTTTGACTGCCCTCGACCTATGTTTTGACATTTTCGACCAAAGTTGGGTACGTTTCGACTGTGCTCGATTTATGCTCCGACTCTCTAGACCGATAGATTTCGACTGTGTGCTCGGCTTGAAACTGCACGTGCTCAACTTGCAAAGTCGAACCATAAGTCGAGCACCTCGACCCAGGAAGGACCGCCCCCTCATGATCCATGATTTTTTCACAGCTACTAAGGGAAACTGGGCCTGATTAAGCTAATTGTTGATGTGTCATCTAGGAATTCATTTGCTCTTACGACAGCTTGGCTGAGAAAATCAAAAGGTGTGAGCTACCATCCAAACTTTACCGAAAGATTCAAAAATTCTTATAAATATCATGAAAACTTCAGTCGAAAGTCTTTGACTTTCCAGATTTTGAGATAAATTTTTGGCATCAGTTTATGACCGCTAATTTTAGCACAACATCAAACAAACTGTTTTCTTTTTGAAAATTGAGGAAACAAGCAATTGCGTCAGTATAGTTCTTTGTAGTTTCGGGTTTTCCGGGCTGTTTATCTGCTGAAATCACTACAAGGAGTTTTCTCTTTTTCGTGCTATATATGCAAAAAATGAAGCTAAAACTAAACTAATTAAACCGATTAGAAAAAGAAAGCATTGAAAGAACTAGAAGCAATACTATCTTTAAAATCAGAGAGAAAGGTTTTGACTTTTAAATTATCTCGATAAGCAAAACAAAGTTTCAAGAGTTTCTAGGCCGCGAAGTTTCAAAAAATGCCGTTCTATATACCGCATGCAGTAGGAGATTTCCAGGAATGGCTGTGGTTCAAAATTAGCTGGGAAAGTTACATGGTAAGTGCAGATGCAGTGCTGTTTCATTGCTGGCCTAGGATTTCTTTAACTCTTTTCCCCCCTTTTGCAAAAGAGAATATTTGTTACTAGGTGAAAAATCTAATATGCTTAATAGTTCAACCATTGTTGGCCCGACTTCCGTAGGGAAAGTAACAAACATTTGCGGTCGGGGTGGTTTTTTTCCTTCAGAGAAGTTTCGACTGTTTAACTAACCACGTTTGACGGAATTGTTTATACCATTCGAAAACTATTGTTGTTCTGAGCTTAAATTTGGAAAAAAGCTCACCTGTGATTTTTTTTGTAAAGTTATGAGGGCTTAAAGGTTGCAATTTTGTCCAATTTGGGATAATGAACGCGCTATTAACGCGTTAGCGGAGATTTAATTCGTCTTATAAATTGCTCCAAATTGGTTCAAGGAAGCGTATATGGCATAAGTTAATGGTTAATAGGAGCAAAATTTATCACTTCACTTATTACTTTAAATAGCGTGTGGGGGGGATAATTTTCACAAAAAATCTAAAAGTGAAAAAAATGTTTTTTTTTCTACATTTATTTTTATCATGTTGTTACTGCTCCACAGACCTTAAAAAGCATTCGGATCGTTCAGGGCTTTGCCCTGATACGAGCAGTCTTGTTCCGACTTTCGTAACAAAAGTAATGGAATATTTATGCTCGCAGTGGCTTTTCCAGACAAGTTTTGACTTTTTACCTAGCCATTTTTGACGTTTTTTTTATATCAGTCAAAAGGTATTGTTGTCTTGAGCTTAAATAAGAACAGATATTTCACGTGTGATCATTTTTCGTTAAGTTACTGTTTCGACTTTCGATACGAAAGTAACGGAATTTTTGTGCTCGGGGTGGTTTTTTCTTCAGACAAATTTCGACTTTTTAAATAGCCATTTTTGACGGAATTTTTAATATATATCATTTAAAAAGTATTGTTATCTTGAGCTTAAATTTGAAAAAATTTTTCACGTGTTATCATTTTTTGTAAAACTATGGGGGTTTAAAGGTTGCCATTTTGGCCGATGTGGGACAATTAACTCGCGATATATTTCTAGCTACTAACTCGTAAGCGGAGATTTAATCCGTTTTAGAAATTCTTCCAAATAGGTTGAAGTAAGCTTATTTACCATAATTGATTTGTTACTAGGAGCGAAATCACTTTGTACTTTATATGGCGTGTGGGGGACGGTTTTTACAAAAAAAACTTGAAATTTTTTATTGCATTTTTTTTCATGTTATTATGCTCCATAGACCTTGAAAGGCAGTCGAAACCTTCAGAGCTTTGCTCTGATACGAGCAGTCTTGTTACAGTCAGTTTTTTCATGTTATTACTGCTCCATAGACCTGAACGCCAGTCGGGACATTCAGGGCTTCGCTCTGATACGAGCAGTCTTGTCACAGTCAATTTTTTCATGTCATTACTGCTCCATAGACCTTAAACGCCAGTCGGGACATTCAGGGCTTCGCTCTGATACGAGCATACTTGTTACAGTCAATTTTTTCATGTTATTACTGCTCCATAGACCTTAAACGCCAGTCGGGACATTCAGAGCTTCGCTCTGATACGGGCAGACTTGTTACAGTCAATTTTTTCATGTTATTACTGCTCCATAGACCTTAAACGCCAGTCGGGACATTCAGGGCTTCGCTCTGATACGAGCAGACTTGTTACAGTCAATTTTTTCATGTTATTACTGCTCCATAGACCTTAAACGCCAGTCGGGACATTCAGAGCTTCGCTCTGATACGAGCAGACTTGTTACAGTCAATTTTTTCATGTTATTACTGCTCCATAGACCTTAAACGCCAGTCGGGACATTCAGGGCTTTGCTCTGATACGAGCAGACTTGTTACAGTCAATTTTTTTATGTTATCACTGCTCCATAGACCTTAAAGGCCAGTCGGGACATTCAGGGCTTCGCTCTGATACGAGCAGTCTTGTCACAGTCAATTTTTTCATGTCATTACTGCTCCATAGACCTTAAACGCCAGTCGGGACATTCAGGGCTTCGCTCTGATACGAGCAGACTTGTTACAGTCAATTTTTTCATGTTATTACTGCTCCATAGACCTTAAACGCCAGTCGGGACATTCAGAGCTTCGCTCTGATACGAGCAGTCTTGCTGCAGTCAGTTTTTTCATGTTATTACTGCTCGATAGACCTTAAACGCCAGTCGGGACATTCAGAGCTTCGCTCTGATACGAGCAGTTTTGTCACAGTCAATTTTTTCATGTCATTACTGCTCCATAGACCTTAAACGCCAGTCGGGACATTCAGAGCTTCGCTCTGATACGAGCAGTCTTGCTGCAGTCAGTTTTTTCATGTTATTACTGCTCCATAGACCTTAAAAGGCAGTCGGGACAATCAGTGCTTCGCCCCCATACGAGCAGTCTTGTTTCCTTAGGGTGGAGGTTCGTTGGTAGGTACCATAGGGGGGATATAGTTAAAGAGATCCCTGGTTTATCACTGTATCAAAGCTGTTTTTCATCGCTGGTTTATCACTGGCCAGAGATAAATTGACGCTGGCACAGTACTGGAACAGTAATGTTTTTCTACTGCAACAGCTCTGAACTTCAAGTTCTAACGTCGAAAAAGTCGATATTACACCGAAAACAATAACTTGAACCGGAGAAAATCGTAACGTATATTAACGCTCAAAATATCCATTTAAATTGGGTTCTAGGTTTAAAAACTCCGTTTTGATTACCGAAATATCAAACCTGGTCCTTTTCCAGGTCTCTTTTGCTGTAAATCTAAAACAACGAACGTGGGTGAAAATTAAAACATTGAGTTTAACATGTAAAAATTATAAAACCTTCCAGTACTTTATATCGATGCTATAAAAAAAAATTCTCATGGTATTAGAAAGCTAGCAAGCCAAACACCATAGGGTGAATGAGCTAAAACTCACAGCTTGAAACGATTGTTTTCTGTATATCATATCATACAAATCATATCTTTTCAGCAAAACCCCAATCAGGGGAGGATTTAGGATTTTCTCGAGAGGGGGGGGGGCGCTTTTGCGGATTTTCAAAAATTATTTAAAAATTTTAGCGACCTTTTTTTTAGGTCGACCAAATTGATCTTCCCAGCTCTGCCAAAACACTAAAAAGACCCCCTATTTTAGGCCAAATTTTCTGCGCCGCAGGCAATAGTTTGAAAAAAAAAACATGCCAAAAAATGCATTTTGAGGCATTTTTTGGAAAACTTTCACCAAAAATAAGCGTTTTTTTGGCGCGCAACCCCCCTCAAAACTAATATAAAGGCGTTAAAAGCGCCTGTAGAAAATTTTTAGGGTCAGTCAGCCAAAAATGGATACCTCAAAATTGTGCAAAGGGGAACCCTTTGGGTCGGCAGGGAGTCAAATCCTGAGGAGAGGGGGGGGGGGGGGGACGGACGCCTCCCCGCCTCCTCCCCCAAATCCGCTCCACCAATATATATCAGATTGTACTTGAACTAGTTTGAAATTAAACGTAATGTTCAGCCGTTTCTTTTGCTAGAACGGATATTTAACAGGTACTATTTGGGGAAGGAGAATTCTAATATAATTTTTGTTGTGTAGGGTCCTATGGCAATTCTGGTCATTCTATTCAATCTGTATTTTGTCCTGACTGTTTGGAAAGTGGAGGAACTGCATACGCACGACTATGTTCTAATAACCATTCAGTGTGCAATGGATCTAATTTTTACTGGCGTGTTTGGACTGCTCCATTACCTGTTGGAACTTTGGAGTGGGGTAGTTTCCTTTTGCATAGAAGGCAACTTTTTGGGGAATACTTAGTGACGACTTATACACATCATTTTAAAATAATTGTTTTTGTCTTCAATAGTTTTTGGTTCGGTTTAACTGACTCCAATAAAGTCCATGTTTTCATAATTTTAGATATCTCTGTGAAGTCTATATGACGAAGATACGGAATTGAGAGGAAAACACTTAAGTCTGAGTACAAAAAACAAGAGAGGAAAACAATCAAACTAAGTACAAAAAACCTAACAAAATTACGAAAAACTCCAGGCCACTTAAATTAACTTGAGCCCATTGAAAATCGGAAAAATTTTAAAATTTTTCAAATACCGGTTTACAAAACAGTACACACCATTTTTTTCGCAGCGCGAAATTGACAGGCTTGATTCATTTTCTGCTAATAATGACTTCAGTTTTGTGGAAAAACAGTCTCAAGAAAATGTTCTACTGATTCTGATTGAACCGAAAAGTTTGTTTAAAGACTTGGTATAAGGATTCCAGAGACCTACACACACCAAAATGTGCGACTATCCTGTGCACAGTTTGGTTTCGTAATGGATTAGCTACAAACAGCAACATCCCAGTCTGTTTTAGACGTAAATAAAAAATTTTCAATGTTAAATCAGGTGTAGAAACTCAAAACTATCCCTGAAACACTTTATGTATCCTACAAAAACTTGTTCTTTATTATAAAACTTTCATGTGAGCGAAAAGCAATTGTGCAGTTGTTATTGAAGCAATATTGACGTGAAACGAAACAGCCTGAAAAACTGAGAGCCTAATTTTGATCAAACAGTGAAACTAACTGAAATATATCTAGCCTTTTTTTTCTACACGAAGTTTTTTTTTTCAAATAGCGACTACTCCTTGAAAACATATCGACTAAAAGGGACGGCGACAACTCGCAACAAAAAGACAACTCGCTAAATTTAAGGAAAGTGACAACTCGCAAGTTTTTGAAGCTAATTAGAATTTTATATTCGCGGTTTACGGCCTGAGCGCGCGTCGCCGCTTTGCGGCGATACCCGGCTCTCAATTTTGTATAAAATCTACCCGCTGTTGGCAAGCTCGGAACACGTTGGCGCGACTGCGGCGGTGAGTATATTGCGAGTTGTCTTTTAATGCGAGTTGTACTTCATTGCGAGTTGTCTTTTCTTGCGAGTTGTCGCATTACCCGACTAAAGATACATGAGTATGAAATATGTACTCAACCAAAAAGTAAATAAGTTTTGAATATTTTGGAAGTATGTTCAAAAAAGGGCAAAAAAGCCAAACTTTGGAGCTCTAGGATACATGCGCAAATATTCTGAAAAAATTCAGGCCATTTAATTAATTACCCCGGGTTGACCTCCATACGCAAAAAAAAGTTTATCAAACAATTCCAAAAAAGAAAAATGCTCATTGTGCAATTTCATGCACGGAGTGTATGGAAAAAAATGTCATACATTTTCCATCTATGAAAATCGAACGACAAGCAGTTTTTACAGTGCTGCCCAAAGTCTTCGGATGTAAAAAAAAACAACTTTCAGAAAATTTGTTTCCTGAATTTTTAGTTTCAATCCACTTTCATGCTCAAAATTTTTTTGAAAACAGAACTGTTGCATGACAAAATCCATTACTTTTGATGACAATATAATTCAAACTAAATTGAACTAAGTTGTTACCAAGGAAACCAAATCATCTAAAAAATTTTGAGCAAATCCAAACTTGAAATTCAAAATATTTTTCCACTACAAGATACACTATAATATATCGAAAAAATCGGGCCACACAAATTCAAAATTTAATTTTTTTTTCAATTTTGACTAGCTTTATCATTTCTGAAAGGCTTTTCTCTACTGCAAGTTTTATCCGATTTTTTCCTATCGGAAAAGGCTTGTATGGGGCCATCATCCCGCCTGTCAACATCAGCGCGCCGCTAATCGTCGGGCATTTTTAACGTTAGTGACTTAAAACTAGCCAGCTCGCAAAAAATATCAAATCAAACTTCGGATTTTATTAACCCGAGTTAATCAATTTAACAAAAATATGGCCACTAAATCGAGAAAGGAATCGATATCTGCTGGTGCCTCATAATTGAATCAATTCTGCCAAATTTTGTCGGAAGAAACCTCAATTTCAATCACTACATATTAACCCTTTCTTTAGTTGAGTTTTTTATTGATCTATGCCATGACGTGCTATTCCAAAGAATTCGTTCTAATGAAAGCACCACTCAAAATTAAATGATGTGTGTTTGTGTACTCAACAGTAAAGATTTATCCCAAGATTATCCCGGATGGAACTCATTTTGTCGCAGCCAACTCATGAAACCGGAAGTGACAGTTTCGAAAACCGTTCTTTTTCAGATCATTTTATTACTCTTGTTTGCTTTTGAAAATTTGTTAGTAAGCTAATAGGTTTATTGGTTCATCAAAAACTGAGCATATTCGAGCTAACTATGGAATACTTTCAACTAAAATTAAACAAGCCTGCTCGTATCAGGGCGAAGCCCCAAACGTATGACTGCCTTTGAGGCCTATAGAGCAGTAATAACAAGAAAAAATTAAAAGTATTGAAAAAAACGAAACTTCTGCTAAATTTGAGATTTTTTGTAAAAAGTCATCACCCCACCACGCCATATAAAGTACAGAGTTCAACCATTTTGGAGCGATTTCTAAGAAGGATTAAATCCCCGCTTACGCGTTAAAAGTGCGAAATATATCACAAAAAAACAAAATCTTGATTTTTTTTGTAATTAAAATCAGCAGATATCTAGCAAGAAATCTGACCAGCATGCTTACAGTGCTGTCATTTTGCAAGAAAGAAGCAATTAGAAGCAAAACGAACATTAAGTGTAAGATACCTAGCAAAAAATCATAGCGGAGATTCCTGAAATTTTCTTCTTTAGGTGAAAGATACATTGAGAAAATTGAATTAAGGTCCGGGGTGGCCTTCTCATACAGTATTTTATCATAGAGTAAACCTTATAGAATACACCGGCTCGATAGGCTCGTTCAACTCCTTAGTCCAGTATTAATCCTTGTCTTACTCTTATACTTCATAGTCTCACTAGATCTAGCAGTATATTGGTTTATTGCAGAGTTAGAGGAGAAAAAACAGGCAACTGATTTCAGTCTGTATTCCAAATTCTCTGACCTACTGGATATTCATTTTACACGTCTTAAAAAAATTTAGTCATGACTCATGATTGGTTTGTTTGAAAATTTTACAGTGAAGTTTTTTTAAATAAAAACTAATTAAAACTAGTTTCAAACTGGTTTCAACCATTCGGGGCCAAAAGAAGTTTTCAAAATCGGAGTTATTCAAAATAGAGTAATTTTTGAGCGTCTTGAGTTCTTGAAGAAGTTGCTCAGAGAGTTATTTTTTCTTATGTGTCTGCGATGAGGGATTTTCATGAATTCAGACAGATCGTAGTGATGTACAGAGAGTTGATTGTAAGGAATTGACTTCATACTTCAGAGCGAGACTAAGTGCGAGAGAATTTTCCGAGAGAATTGTCAGGTGAAAAGATACTGAATTTGACATCGATGGATTCCTTTTTTCCGGTGTCAACTCCGGCGTCAACTCCTTTATATCCAGAGAAGGTTGAGACTGCGACATGCAAAACCAATAGACTTGTCATTCCTGAGTCGGAATGTTGTCAAGCAATCATCTCCTTTTGCTGCTCATATAATAAGCTCTGTGAAATCTTTCACAAATTTATTTCTGCACTTCAGTAATCAGTTTTAATTTTGAACTAGTTAGTTTCTTTTTGCAGATGTTTCATATTTCGTTCTGTTTTGTTTTTAAGAGTTGCTCACACTAGAGCCACTCATAGTAAAAAAAGAGTGCTATGGTTCTAAGCTTTGAGTAGCGCGGTTTGTGAGACCCGCTATTGTGCATGCTCAGTATATCCTTTCTGGTGGTTTAGGCCACTTGCGGAGAGATATCTGAGAATTTTTTAGATAGGGGGGTTCTTTTAAATATACTTTTTTTTGTACCTGGTTTTTTGTCAGTTGTACTTTTTGATTGTTTCCATTTCTTTGAAATAGGTTATATTTGATTAGTGAAAATCTGGTGCTTTTTAAAATTACAATTGGTTTTAATTAGAACTTGTTTTTGGTTTCAAAAGAATAGAAATATTTATCCAGTTCGATCTGGTTTGAAAATAAAGGACTTTTTCGGAACATGTTTGATTAAGATCACGAAGTATGATGTTGAAAGTATTTCAGAAGGAGATATTTCTTGGTGGTATTCCTAGTCAAATGAAAAAATATAATGTGATGATGATTGCTCTCAAGAGTACAACTAGCGCTCTTCTTAGACATTGGTATCCTTAGTTTCAGGAAAACTATCAGTATTAGAGAGGTTTATATAAAAAAAGAAAAAAATACTTCTTTTATTCGAAAAGATATCTTATTATTAAAAAAAGTTGAAATTTGTAAGTGTTAGTTTTTGCCTGAGGAAGTGGTTAAGAATTTTGGAAAAGGACAGAATTAGTAATAAAAAGGTTCAACAAAACTGAAAACTGTATACAAAAAGATAGGACATTTTTTTACTAAGAAGTCTAAAGGTTTCTTGAAAAGGAAAATGAAAAGTCTGAGAAAAATTATTGAATTTTTAGAGAGAATGTAGAGAAAGTCTATAAAATTTGAGTCAGATTGCTTCGAGATGAGCAATCAGAATTTCGTTTATCCGAGAGGTCTCCAGATTTTTTTCTCAATTTTTTTTGAAAATGGTCAATGTTTTTTTTTGTGTTTCTCAGAAAAATCAGGTGAGAAAAATGAAATATTGAAGTTTAAATATAGAGGTTTCAATAGCATAAAATGTTGAGTTCGATTGTGAGTTTTGTTTGCAATTTGTTCGCTGATAGGTTTCTTTAAATGTTGTAAATTGATTTGAGATACAGTTGCATTTTAAATATATATTATTTAATGATGGTATAGTTTTTCCTCAGGTACAATTTCCTGAAAATTTAACTCGTGTTTGAAAAAAATGTGATTCATTTGGGGCTGCTTTCAAGTTTTTTTTTCATTTGGTAGATTTTGCTATTTTTTTTTGTGAATCAGTTTTTGTTTGTGAATGATTGCAAACATATTCTATAAATATATAAGGTATGCACATTATTTTTGACTAGAACTTAAGTTCAAAATATTTTGCTCATGAATGCTGAAAAAGCAGCTGGTCCTATTTACATTCCACAAAATAACCTGTTCTATTAATATTTGGACTTCCTATGATAACTTGTGTTAATCGTCGTCAGTGTTCATCTAGGGCGTTTGATTTCATACAGAATTCTTGTCGGCAGTGATATAGTATTGTCTATTGATTAGTTCAATTGGTCAATTGTTTTCTTGATTCCTCAGTGAGTGAACTTGGACATCTTGGGTCGAGTATCATCCTTAGTGATTCTCATTTTGCTTGTGGATTAATGGAGGCAATACTTTTTGGCTGTTGATCCTTGTTTACTGGTGAAATGATTTTGTTTTGTTCAAGAATATTTAAGAGTCTTTTCAATTTATCGTGTATTTGCTTAGGTAATTTACAAGCGCTTTGGTTTTTCAGAAACGAATCTGGTTTTAGTGGAAGCTGTAGTTTCTTCTTAAATTTTGTCTACTTCAATTTTTGATGCTGCATTTAAAATGGAATAATTTAAATTTGTGTTTGCTAGAGTTTTCAAATTCGTTCCGATTGATTTTGATTGCTGAAAATTAATTATAGTTGAGGATGTTTGTTTATCTGATGTGTACTTTGAGATTACGAATGTGATTTTAGAATATGATGTTTTTTGTGAAGTAATGTATATTCAACTTCGGGTTTTTAGTGATGTTCTATTAGATAACTTTTCATCTTATATAAAGTAGTGGTAATTTTTGTATAGTTTTAAAATTTTATCTACTCTAAATACTTTTCGTGAAGTGGATGTAGAGTGATAGTTGATTACACTAATCTAAGAAACCTGTAGGAAGAGTGATTTTATATATTGATTTGTCAATTAGATGCAGATCGATTTCATCAGGATTTTATCATTTGAGTTTTTGTGGAGTTTGTTACGCAAAAAGATATGTGAAGTGAAACTCAAGGTCAGAACAATTGTAATTTTTGCGGATTTTGTCTATTGGCGGTTTGATGCAAGTGAGATTTTGAAAAGTTTTAAATGTATCCAGTAACAGGTTTCAAATAATTTCTGTCCTTGATGTAACTGTCGTAGATAAGTGAAAGAACGGCAGTTGCTTATGACGTCTTTGAAAAAATGTCAATAAAGAATTATGTTTTCGTGTATATTAATTTTTGATTTGTTATTTACTCTTTAATTTGTTAATTGTTGATATAATATTAGCAAAAAACGTAACTCTTCTAACATTATTTTCTAAATTTATAGATAAATATCTCTGTTAGGAATTTATTGAGAAGTTTGCCGTTCTCAGTTGTTTTTTGTTGTTTGTTGTTTCCGTTTGATTTTTCCATAATTTTGTAAAATTGATCTTCACCGGCGTCGAGATCTGAGGGTTGAAAGCTGATATTTTTCTTGTGGTTTGTGGATCTTAAATTTGGGTTTTTGTCGTATAAATTAAGTATATGTGGGATTTTTTGGCTAGTACATTCAAAGTAGTTTATATCATTGACATCTGTTTTTCTTCTTTGAATATATTTTCTGATTCTTCTAATTTCTTTGAAACTTCTGTCTCTTCTAGTTTGTCTACTAATTTTCTAAAATGAAGATCTAGTTTGCGAAAACTTGAGGGATGTGGTGCGTTTTCTTGATTGTGTTGCTTGTTCGCAATTCTGTTTTCTGCACTTACAGCTAGGTGCTTTATTGTTTCGTTTTGTTATCTGCAGATTTCATTGAACAAAACTTTCTATTGCTGCTCAGTTTTTCGAAAACAAACAATTGTCAAGTCTTTTTTGTAAACCGATTTTGTTTCAATTTTTAAGTCTAAAAATAATTTTTTGGGCTGCTGCGTCGAGTGTGGTTTGTTTTAACGCTTTAAATGTAATCTTGGTGAAACTTTGTGCTTATAGTAGGTTTGTAACATTTGCTCGGAAGTACTTACTGACGGAAAATAAAGCCTGGTCCTAAAACGATTGAATAGCGTCTAAATAGAGCTTTAGTGCTTTAAATCGTCTCTACCATAGTCAATTCAATGTGATTCTCGTTAGATTAAATCACTATGTTCTGATTCTTTTTGTACAATAGAGAAAACCATGCTATCCATCAGAGACAGAGTGAGCTTTTTGCTCCACTCCTAGCTTCTCATGATCTCAAAATGAATTTTAATGCTTTTAAGTTAAGCTCAGGGCCTTCCAGGTAGCTTAAAGTTGGTAAACGAAAAATT